TAGCTGCTTTAAGTCAGGGGCTATCGACATCCGTTGATGAACGTCCACTTGATCACTGATGGGTATCAATAGTCCCTGGCCTATATCGCTAAGCAACGAGACCGTGGCTCAATGTTTAGGGCCTTTGACTGTGATCAAAAAGGTCGCGACTTCGAGGCTCGGGACACCACTTGGGTCTGGATTTGACTGGCTGACGACCGCTAATAAGCCAGATATGGCCATTCCAGCATCCCTTGAATTTGCCGACAATACTATCTGCCTATACTGTAAGTTGTTAGGGCTGCCAGGGCCTCTGGCGCGACTCAAGGCAGAGCGGGACAGACGAGTCCCGTTAGCTGCCAGGCGAATGTTTATCAATGGGTGCCCTCCTTGTTGCCTTGATTACTGACCACCGTATGGGGCTGTCTCTGCGGTTTCTAGACTGAGTTTTAAAGCAAAAACCTTACCAGCACTTTCTTTGACCTGACCACTGAGCGTGCATCCCCAAATAGCAAACTTTCTTTGTTCACCACGCTATGTATTTTCATTTACTTAAAAATAACTTTTTCTGGTATTTATTTAATATTTGCTTGTATTTTTTTGGATTCAGCGGCAGAGGCGCACACTTTGCACAATCAAACGGCTGCCAAGGAACGAGAACTGGCCTCCTGTCTGCGGCGGTCCGAAGAAATGCAGGGAAAAATAGCCCTCATTCGGGAATGGTGCCAGTGGCTGGCGTCTCCTCCGGGTTCGCTGCGGCCCAAGCCACCAAGCAGTCCCAGTTTCGAAGTTGCCGAGGTAAGCATCATCTGCTAGGCACCTTTTCTCTAGCAGGAACTCATTTTGTGTCTAAATTATGGAACTGGTAGTTCTTGTTAGAAGCTACGAGGATGAAAGTTACTTTAACCGGTAGAAGGCATGACGGAGAATGGGGTTTAACTTTCTAGAAAAGTTTACTTTTTTACATCATACTCCATGTGATTTACACGGCGAAAGAAACGAATTTTCAAGCGTGGCAAGTAACATGTTGCAAAACTTGCGAGTTTAGATTACTCTATTCCCAAAAAGAATCATGTGCGGATGTGCCGCCTTAATCTTGAATAGCTATTAGCATAGAAAACCGCCGAACTATCAGGTCACGTAGATATTCAGTCAGCTTGTAAACATTTTGATGAATACAATTATTTGTAAACATATTCTGCACACAAGAGGGACATTTTCTGGAATAGGTTACGCGACAAAAATACAGCGTGCAACTTTTTAGTTGGCGAAAATTGTTTAGACTACTTTCCGTCTTCGTGTTTCATGCGATAAGTTATATACTGCAGATACATTCAGAGCCGTAGTTGGCGGAAAGCCTACTGTACAAATGATCTGCGCAGCCAAGGACTGTCTTAGGACGTAAACAACAGCCTGATATCGCCTTGTTTCAAAGGTCTAACCTCCAAAACAACCAGCATGGAATGTTTCGTTTTGGCGGTAACTGAAAGAAGAATTTTAAAAGGAGCGTCAAACCTAGGGAGAAAGATATCTGAGGGTGTTTGGTGACCGAGTTAAAAAAAAAATAAATGCTCGTTGCACACACATGTCTTGACTGCAGTGAACACGCTGTTTTCACTTGAAGGAACGTGGCTACTTTTTGTCCAAGATTCGGGCATCGGAAGAAAAGAGTGTCCCTTAGGTGGATTATTCGAAACAGCAGTCGTAATTGAACGCAAAAGACTGGAAATCCGCTGCAAAAATCAGCTCAGTTTTGATATTGGAGTAGTTGCTTACCTAAGATGAAGTCACGCCTCACCTAAACCCAAACTGTAACTCGTCATATATGAAAAAGCGGAAATAGAAGTAAGAATTGCTTATGAAATACTCTAAACAGTCTCCCATTTCCACGTCGCACCCCATCCGGTATAGTTTATAGACTTTACAAGGCCGCCTGAGCTCCACGAGACGAGCATTTACGATATTTCAATTGCTGGTTGCTTTCCTCATGAATGCTTTTCGAAAGAGGGACACCTTGAAGAAAGTTGCACATTAAGTGAGCACTGAAATGGTTTTCGCAGCGCAAATCCTTGTCTTTTCAATTTGTTGATATCCGGGGAAACTAGAAAATGTCCACCGCGTGGTGATCCAACCTCGATTAGTTTTAAATAATAGTACACTAGCGATGCAGCTACCACACTCTCGCTTCCCTCAACCACTCGTGCCCGGTGTCAAGACAGAGCTAAGATAAACGGAGGCGGGATTTGGCGCAGGTGGCAGGCGCGACCTGAGCCACCACGTTTGACTCAGACCCCAGGGAGTAGGAGTGCCATAACGATCATAGGTGGCTGTTTTGACGAGAGTCTGCATCTACGCCTGCCTCCAACGCCCCCC